GGGAAGTTTTCTGTCATTAATTCTGCAAACAGCTTTTTTAAGTCATTTGTATTTTCTCCTGCTACTTCATGTATTCCTATCAGTCTTATGTTATTCTTCTTTGCATCATCTAGGAATTGTTGGATCGATTTCTCATGATCTCTTACTGTTTTTAAGAGACCTCTCTTTTCATGGTCACTGACTGCAATCTTATCTTCTATATCTGACAGCCTATCTTCTCCTTCTTTTATTCTGTTGCGTACACTTTCAATAGAGTGTTTAATCTCCTGGATATCTGTTTGAATCTGTTTTATGGATTCCATTTCTTTCCTATGTTGGGCGTTTATTTTTTCCATTTCTTTCTTCTGCTGGGCCTTCTTGGCTTCTATCATGGTCCTGAGCTCATCTATTTTTTTGTCAGTTTCTGCTCTAGAGTCTCGAATCACAACTTCCATTTTGCTCACTATCTCTATGGTTATCTGGGAAATTATTTCTGTTTTGAATTTTTCTAGAGCCTGATTGATCTGTTTTGCTACTTCCTGTGCTTTGATTTCAGGGTGTCCTGTTGGTTCACTATCGGCCTTTTCATCCTCATTTGCCCTACTGTTTGTCATTGGTGAACTGGAAGTCTGTCCTTGTGTCTTGCTTAAGTGTTTTCTCATTTTAATTTTTGTTGGTGGACTGTCCTTTGTTTAATCTCTGGATTATCACCCAAATCTTGCTGATATAGTTGCACCCTAGCTTCTGTGTCTCTAACCACCCACAGACATTTTCATCTTCATAACATCAGAGAAAACAGCTCATGAAATCAACGGCAATGCTTTACCCCAACTGATACAATCAGCAACACATTAAGATCAAGCACAACTTGGACACTGACCACCTGTGGTAGTCACTAGTCTATCACCCTTAAATCATTTGAATTAAATTGAAATCAAGAAGCAGTCCAGAACATGTCTGCAGTGAACAAAATTTCAATATAGTGTATTTACCATTTAATGGCTTAGACAGAGCAAGGATGCAAGACCCTTGATCTCAGTTAACTGATGGCTGAACCCCCTGATGCTGACTGACCTCGGGCTGCAAGGTCCAGATTGAGTTCCCCATCCTTCTGAATGGTTCAACTCCGCAACGTTCTATTACAGGTTTCCCCATGCCCTTTCTTTAAAGATGTTCAAAGTTGGGAACTCAGGAAAATATCCTTGATGACCACCTCTGTCTCTGCAGAGTAGGTCCAAAGATTGGCACAGTCAGGAGGTCTGAGAGTGTGGGGGGGTGCTTATGGGGGTTCAGGGGTGCACGGCTACCTTCCCGGCACTTGAGCGATGGTGGCTGGGTCGGGAGCAGGCGTGGTTCTCCTTCCCACGGTGGATCGGGGTCCAGCCTACCTTCCAGGCGCTTGAGCGATGGCGGCTGGGCCGGGAGCAGGCGTGGTTCAATTTTTTTATTTTTTTGAGACAGGGTCTTCTTATATACTCCAGGCTAGTCCTGACTTGCTATGTAACCTAGGCTCATCTTGAACTTGCAGTAATTCTTCTGTCTCAACCTCCTGAGTACTGGGATTACAGGTGTGCACCACCCACACATGGTAGAAGTAAGATTTTTAAAACATGAAAAACTTGCAAACTGAAATCCTGAAAATGTTGCTGACCACTGTGTTCCTGACTGCATGGTCGCACAATCTCATCCTGTAGGATATACTTCTTTTCCTACTTTTACTTGGCCCAAATTCACTCTGCAAAGCCTCTTTTACTACCTTTAATAAAACTTTGCTTCCATTTAAAAAAAACTCTGGAGGCTGAGCCAGGAGGATCACCTCAAGTTAGAGGCCAGCCGGGACTGCATAGCGAGACTAAAAACTTTTTTAACCCCTAAATACTGTGTGTGTGTGTTCATTTATATTTTTGTCTTGTTTTGTTGAGGCCTAGGCTGTCCTCAACAATCCTCCTGCCTTAGCCTCCAGAGTGCTGGGACTAAAGAGATGCGCTACTACATCCAGCTTAAATATTTTATATTTTGATCCGCTGTGTATTGATTTGTTAATGTTGATTTGCCTCCTGGAACTTTGTCAACTCAGTAATCAGTAGCATTTTTGCAGTCATATGATCACGTCATCCATGAATAGTTTTACTTCATCTTTTGTGATTTTTACGCTTTACTGCACTGACCTCAAATACAAATATGAAGGAGTTCTTGTGAAGATCTTAAGAGGAAAGTGACAAATATCTCACTAAAGCTAATGTTACAGGAAGCTATTTCATAAATTCCTTTTATTAGGTCAAGGAAGTTCCCTTCTGTTATTTGCTGAAGCTGTCATTATAAACTGTGTAAAATGTCCTTACGCATAAGGTATCTTCTTAATTCTGTTATAATAGTAAAAAATATCTGATGATTTTTAAATATACTAGCTTTGTATTCTAGGGAAAATCCTCCTCGGTCTTCATGTAATGGTAGTATAATATTTGAAAATCAATTGTTTGAAAAATTATTTTTCATGTATGACTGGGTCCAAATTGCTAATATTTTAAGGATTTTGGTGACTGCTTTTATTTATAATTAGCTTGGAGCTTTCTGTTAGCGAAATATTTTTGTCTGATGTAAGGGTAAAACTAGTCTCATAAAATGAGCTGGAAGGAGTTCCCTTCTCTATTTCTTAAAATGTTATGTAAAATTGGTATAAGCCAGGGATTTAGCTCAGCGGTTCTGTCACCTGCCTTGCAAACACAAGGACCTGAGTGAGTTCTGATCTCCGGTACCAAAAAACAAAACAAAACAAAAAACCACCTAAAATTGGTATAATTTCTTCGTTTGACAGAATTGATCAGTGAAGTCTCTGGGTCTGGAATTTTCCTTGCAGGAATGGTTTTAATTATGAATGCAATTTCTTTAACAGATGATAGAATATTCAAATTTCCTATTTCTTTTCATGTCTATTTTAGTAATTTATGTCTTTCAAAGAAAATCTCTATCTCATTTAAGGTGTCAAAATTACGGTAGGGAACATAGTTATCGGTAACAAAGGCAGACCAAGGCCGAGTTCCTTACTGCCTCCTGACCTTGTGTAATGGTATTTAGAAGGAATCATGTTTCTTTTTTCTTTTTGGTACAGGAAACCAAACTCAGGACCTTGTGCTTGCCAGGCAGGCACGGCACCACTCATGGAATCATGCTCTATCTAACATTTACTCTCAAATGACTCAGCAAAAATAATTAAACACATATATACATTTTGAGAGACAGAAAAACAGATGTGAAAAAAATATAAAATGGATGAATACAGGATGGTCATATAAAATTCACTGTACTATTTTAACTCCTGTTTCCCAGATTTGAAATTTATCAAAAAATAAAGTTAAATATTCATATTTTATAAACAAGCAATTTAAATTAATATTTGGAACAATTACACAGGCATTATGCAGATTAGAAAATTTATCACAGGCAAAGCTTGGAAATACCCTAAACATTCCACAATGAGCATCTGATAAATATATTGCAATACAATATAACAAACAGCTAACAACAAAAATCGTAATTTTTTTCAAGAATATTCATGTGAAAAATGCTCAATATAGACTACTAAGAGAAAGTTTCCTCACTGAATACATGAATTCTTTCTATATGCAAAGGAAAAAGACCATAAGAAACTCCAAACAGTGGCGTCTTCTGAGTGGTGAAGTCACAGGAGAACCTGAATTGCCAAAATGCTTATCCCTGTTCCAAATGTCTTGAAGGATCCCAGATATTTTCTACTCTTCCGTGGGCAACAGGAAGGAGAACGCACATGGATTTACGGCCTTAGCAGGTCATGTGGCATGGGCCTGTATTAACAAGGAGGAAGATTTTGCAGGTAGTGGTGATAATTTAGCCTAGGAGAGGAGCATAAACTGCAAGATCTGTTCTGATGCTTTCTGATACACACAAAGCATCAGAGGATCAAGTCAAATGAAGTGTGTGAGAAAGGTAGTTACACATTAATGGGAAAGCATCAAGGAGATTGATGAACTTGGAAGCTATTATTACAGGAAATCACATAGAACAATGAGACCTAGAGTCTAAAGATCTGAATGGAATTTAAATCTTACACAGTTAAAAATAAAAACCAGGCATGATGACCAAGCCTATAATCCAAGTCCTCTGGAGGCTGAGGCAGAAGGATCACTAAGTTTGAGACCAGCCTGAAGCTACATAAGTGAGTTCAGGGCCAGCCTGAACTACATAGTGAGACGGTCTTCAAACACCAAAAAATACTCCTACCAGAATATGATACAGAGACCAAAATGGGTGGTGGTGGTGGGGATATCTAGTGGTTCTCCTCATATACATTTGAGAGAAAGGAAGACGGGCCTAGGCCAGAAAACGTGGGGTTTCTCTCGGCCTCTGGATGGGGCTCCTGTATCATCTCCAAGCACAATGCCAACTACGTGGGCTGAATGCCCTAGTCTGGAAACTCAGGAATGAACAGATTTCTTCTTGAAATGCCTGAATGAGCCAGTTGGCCAGTACATGGTGGAATGATTGTTGAGTAGTAGTCACAGGTCAGAGATTAGATAAAATACCTTGCCTAATCTTCAGCTGAAGATGTGGAAAGAAGATGTAAAGACAGGCTATAAGGGAGAGCAGTATATAAATAGTTTTTGGTACTGGGGATCAAACTCAGGACCTTGTGCTTGCAAGGCAGGCAGTGGAACCACTGAGCCCCTGGCCCTAGGAGAGAAATATTTTGATTGAGGGGAGGGAAGGGGAGGCCAGGGACAAATCCTTTGAATTTTCAGGTTAGTTACCATACTTACAGCAAGAAGTTCAGGCTCAGATATGGAGTCTCCTCTTTTACAAAAGTGATCCTTTCATCAAAGTGTGAAAACTGAACCACTTATCTCAATCACTGATATACATGTTCTGTATTAGGGATAATGAAACCCACAAACCAGGTCAAATAGGGATGTTCAGAGGAGGGCCAAGGATTGGCCATTGTATTCTCTCACCAAGCCTGTACAATAATACAAACACAAAGTCCAGAGTTTTAATTCAGGCGATTTATTGTAAACAGGATAACCCTAGGACTCCAGCATACTGGCTGTGTCACATGCTCTCTCTTTCACATCAACTAGTCAAAAAGAAGACTTTTAAAAAGTCCTTGGTAACTAATAGCTTAGTGTCTCACAAATCTCATTTGGTAAATAAGCCCTGTGTAGAGAGCAGTACCTGGGGTAGTCTCTTATTGCTCTTGGACTGCAGCTGGGACCCATTTGCATGAATCCATTAGTATGCCTGAGGGACCCAACAGAAGCTCTAGATCCAGAATGGAAACTAGAAAGCACTGGAGCACACTCAACAGGCGCAGGTTCAGGGAAGACGACATGAGATTGCTTTCATAACTCTTTAGGCGCCTTTCCGCATAAAAATGACACTTTAAAATTTTGCTCATTTTTTAAAAAGAGCTAAAAATTATTCAAAAGCACATAATTTCCCACAGAAAAGGTAGGTGGATTTGTGTTTACTTTTACAGTGACGGATTTAAACACTCAGGACTAACTTTAGATTCATCTTGTATGTATTTGCAGTTTGATGAAAAGCTGCATAGTCTACAAATGCATAAAACCAGAAGAAAGTGTTGCCTTCACACACCTTCCAGTGGACAATGACCGGCTTCACGCGGGGAGGCTCTGGAAGGAGGGATAAAAAGACAGCGACAGCACCAAGTTGACCTGGCAGACTGGAGCCCCACTTTTGAAAGCAGTCTCCATAGTTGTGACTATGTCATTCTTGCCCCAAAGTGAGATTATTTGGAAAATTGGAAATGTAAAAACTATGTGAAAAGACATGATTGCAGAAAGAATTCCTGGCAAATCAATCACATGGGGAGACAAAATGCCATTTTTTGCCTGAGTTAGTGGACAATGGGACCACTCAGCGTTGCTAGTGCCTGTGTGTGGAAATATATTCACAATTTCTCTTGAAACAAAATTTAATAATAGTAATAACTGATTAAAACTTAAACAAGTTTTAATGATATTTTAAAATATATGTTTAATCTACAGTAACAATTTCACCTGAAATAGTACCTCATGAAAAAAAAATTTTTTAAAGTCCACCCCAGTCAATCACCTGTGTCTTTATATGTTTATACATTAAAAAAATAACACAAGGCAAGATTAGACTGGTAACAACAAGGGATTTTAGAGTTTTATGGAGACTTACTATTTAAAAATGTAAGCTTTATTTTTTTGTCTCCAAAAAGGTGACTTTGCATTTGTTGCATTTTAAATTCATGAAGGGGTAAAATATTAATTGCAATTTCACCACAGTTAAAAGTTATGGGTAGTTACAACAGCTGATGTTGGAAAAGCATGTCACACACTCAGTAGGATCTGAAGTTGACATAATTTGTCCTTATTAAGTACATACAGCAATATGTTGATGAGAAAAAGTAAAACTGATAAAACACTGCAAATCAACTATGAACAATAAGAATGTCAATATACTTCAATCAGAAAGAAACCACAGTAATCCTGAGAAATTCTGTTTGGGACAAAATTGATGTAAGGTAAATCTGTATTTCTAGCACTGTAACTAAGTAGAGTGTTCTAGGGTTTTCCAGCATTTTACTAGTTGGAATAAAAAACATGTTCATATTTTATAAAAGATTAAAACCATGCCTTTTATAACAGTAATTTCACTAATAAAAGAAATGACATTGCTTTGTGCATTATCTGCCAAATGTAATGTTTTCCACTGATTTATATGAAACCATGAAGTAGAAAGCAAATTTGAGGATCAAGTTTTAAATAGGCAATTAACACCTTTCTAAATATTCTTTAAGCCTTCTCCGCCAACCTAGGGTGCTTTTTTAAAAAAAGCTAACTCTTTTCTTCTTCGGACAAATGACTATTTTACAGAATAGGGAAGATCTAAGAATATCGTTCATCATTTTAACCAGTTATATAAGGGAAATTTCTCTTAAAAATGAAAAGAAAAAATTTTAAAATATTTTAAGAGGCATGTATTTTAAAAATATTCTACATCTATAAGATTTTGTAATTTATTTTGGATTTTTAACATTTCTACATAATAACATTTGATAACTTTTTTTTTTGTTTTTTTTTTTTTTGTCGTCTCTCTATTAGTAAACCAGAAACTACTCTAGTGGCCAAGATTGTTTCCATAGGCCTGGAAGACTGAGGAATAGATCCACGCACACTTCCCCATCCACAGGGAATCTTCAGAGTTTTGCAGCCATGAAGTTAATGTGTGGTTTCACGAGGGGAAATAGTGGCAAGCCACGCTTGAATTCGGTCATGTTCTGAATCACTTCAGGCTGCAAAGAAAAAAAGTTTCCTTAGTGTGTCTCATATAAAAACTAGATTGAACAGGATATCAACTATTCTGGGAGCTGGCACAGGGTATATTAGTTTCTATCCCATATACTGTCATCTGCCAAACTTTCTTTCAGATTAGTAGGGCAAGGTGTCATGGACTGATTTATGCAAAACCGCAGTGAGTGTGTCCAGCAGGACAGTCGGCCAGCAGGAACATGCTTGGGAGCCAGGAACTTAACATCAAGGCTCCAGCAGAGCAGCAGAAGCTGGTCTGCTTACCCAGCAAGGGCCTGGTTATACTACTGGTAAATGTTCCTCCCTTCTAGATGGTTAAAATAAAGGGGACTGTGGAAAAGGCTGTTTCATTTAATATTTGATCCTTAGAACAGATATGGCCAGAGATGATGTACTGAAGAATGGTGCAACTGTTCAAATAAGAGGAACAGCAGACAAGTGCAGAGGCTGAATGGCCAGGCATTCAAGGAGGACATACAGTAGGTGACCTGAGACACCCTGAAACCAACTAGGTCTTACGTGTTCTGAAGAACAAGCTACTTCTAAGTACAAAGTACAACATAATATAATGTTTCTTACTTGTGGCAAGGGTGGTGCTTGTGACAAATTTACATCATTTTGACACGGGAACTCTCCAACAACGGGACCTATAAGAAAATGAAAAGTTTAATGTTTTGCATTTAACTCATACTTGCAGGCAACAGCATCTTTCAAATATGCTGAATTCTGTGCATTAAAAACTGTACCAGGCCGAGTTCGTGTACTTCTCAAGATTTTCTCAGCTGCCTGCTCCCAAGGACTTGAGTGTTTGTCCTATCTTCTATGTGGGGTGTTTTGGTGATGGTCTGATGATGTTACTGAGCTCAAGAAGCCTTGGCTGCAGCAGCATTAATGTCTAGGTTTAACCTGGACTCTGAGGCTATGGCCACCAGTAACAACACAGTAAAACAAGCCAGAAGGACAGGAATGTTAATGGCCATAGGGAACAGTATGGCCAGTTAGGAGCAGAAGACTGGAAGGACTGAGCAGATAAGTTGCTTATTCTTCTTCCCCACATGCAGTGGCTTCATACACCTTTGGAGACAACTTACTAGCAACCAGCTGTGCTTTCCTGTGAACCTGTGGCTAGAGCGGCACTGTCCTCTAGCTCTCTTCTTCACGGCCTCATTTTCCCTCCCCATTTAATTTGGCTTCAACAGAGCAGGCTCTGTCTCCAGTTCCCTTTGTCTGCCCCTTTCCTTTGGTGGTCAGTAAGGCATGTGGATATTTAAGGGACAGCCATCATCTATATGGCTCAATCTGAGCCTAAAAGTAGACGTACAAATAGGTTCATAATCAATACTTACAAGAATCCATTTCCCTGGCAAGAACATGGACGGACACCTTATGTCTCTTGGGGGCATCTACTGCCAACATTTCCTAGGGAGAAAGAAGAACAAAGTCACCCTTCTGCCCCGCTAAGGAACCCTAAATGAGGCTCTCTTGAAGACAAATCATCAGCCACCACAAAGATACAGAAATGTTTTCCTTTCCCCTCATGTTGTTTTATTTCATCTTGGGGGAGGGGTGTGTGCTGGGGATCAAACCTCAATGCTGAATAAGTACTCTCTGATCGAGCCTCAGCATCAGTCCTGGAAAGATGTATTCTGAACCCTATTTGCAGATAAGATAACAGTCTGAGGAGACTACTGAACTGTTCAAACTCCTACAGGTAATGTGTGCCTAAGTGGGGATTAAACACCTATCCTAGTACTCACTGGGGTGTGATGTGCAAGGGCTGCACCTACTGATCTTTAGTGCTACAGAGACGATGCCCTGAGCTTACTCGGTGGGCAACCTCAGCTCTTGCTCCTCTAAGAACCTTCTCAGATTCTGCATCAAGGCTCTGTTGCTAAGACATGGCTCTTCATCTACCAAAAGGAAGGAGAACAAGACTTACTGAGTCCTGCCTTGTTCCAGGCACTCTCCTGTGTTAGCTCTCTTAATTCTCTGTAGGCTAAACTTCACTCATGATGACACCTATTTTAGTGCTGTGGGCTTTAAGACACAGAGAAATACTGACTTGCATGAGCTGCACAGCTCCTAAGTGATGGTTGCTCTCTCTACTCACCATGTTACTTGAGGATTTCCTTTGGTTACTGCCATGAATGACAGCAGTGTAAGATTGGCAGGTGGCTCCTGTGGGGAAGTGTCACCTGACCTTTCCCTGACACTGGGCTTTTATTTTCTAAAGGGGTACAAACTGTAAGGAGTACAAATTGTAATGAAGCTTTCTCTGATGCTTTAACCAGATGTAACAGTTCATATCCTCAGAGAGGAAAGACCATTAAGCAAGACTTAAGTTATTTATGGAGCAGTGATTTTAATCCTGGTCCTGTACAGCTGCAAGGGAAGCCCTTCTGATGTTGCACGGGCAAGGCTGACCATCGTGGCTGCCCCACTTCCTACTGGCAGAGGAGCCCAGATTACTCCACAGGCCTGCTCTAACGTCCCCGGCCTCCTTTAGGAGCTCAGCCTATGCCAGCCTCCAGTAACATCATCTGACAACTTTCTCACTGGATTAAAAAGTTTGCTTCCAAAGGTCTACTCATTTATATTTATTTATTTATTTTGATTTTTTTGGTACCAGGAATCAAATTCAGGACCTTGCACTTGCCAGGCAGGCACTGTGTGTATTTATTTATTTTGAGACAGGGTCTCATTATGTAGTTCAAACTGGCCTTGAACTTGTAGTTATCCTCTTCCCTCAGCCTCCCAAGTGCTGGGATTATATGTGTGAACCTCCACACCCAGCTCAAAGATCTATTCTTGATTCCTTTTCACTCAACCTTCATTGTCCTCTTGTCAATCTGCATTGGTAGACAGAACACTCTGGTTTTGGGAGTATTCTCCATTTCCTGACCAACTAGCTGGGCGATCCTAATTTTTTAAAAAAACTATTCCCCTTTCTTGTAAATTGTGATTTAAGGATCATTAGAGAGCCAGGGATATAGTTCAGTGGCACTGCACCTGCGTGGCAAGCACAAGGTCCTGAGTTTGATTCCTTAGTACCAGGAAAAAAAAAAAAAAAAAAAGGTACATTAGAATTCCGAGATTTTTGTAGGTATTCTGAGCCAAAAAGGAAATAATGAAATTAGTTTAGAAAATGTTCTCTTAATCAAAATTAAATACTGGGTAAACTCTTTACTGCGGTGCTTATTAGAACTTCTAAAATGCTAACATACTCTGTGATCCTCCACGAATGGGAATAGGAGAGTAATCTTTCCCAAACTTCTCCCTGACAATCCTATTAATACTCTGTACACTACTAGCTGTAACACAGCTAGGGAAATTCTCTTCTAGATTTAGGTGAAGCTTGATTATAACCATCCTGTTTTCCCCCCTCATGTTTTAAGAAAGAGTGTGTCTTATAATTGTTATTTTCACAAACTTAATACAGTAATAAGGTATTACTTTTTTTTTTTGAGATGTGGTCTCACTATGCTGCCCAGGCTGGTCTCAAACTCCTGAATTCCTGAACACACACACACCACCAGTATCTATCTTCACAAAGTGAAATGGTTTTAAGTAGTAAGTAAACATAATCAAAATTTACTTTAGGTACAAAAATCTGATATATCAAGGAGGAAAACACATTTTGATTAAAAGAATCAAAACCTTGGAGACTATTTATTAAATACTAAATGCTAATCACTTTATACACCTCATTCCAACAATAGTCTAATCTCTGTTTTGTAGATAAGAAAAGCTAGATACATAACTTGGATAAGGTCACACAGCTAGTACCAGTTGGTGGCAGGGCTCAGTCACGGGTCTGTATCAGAAGCCTCACATACTCCTGTTGCTGCTCCATAGATAAAAAAGCCCCAGAAGACCCTAGAAGGACTGAGGTTAGCAGACCTAATGGAACACTTTGGACAACTGAACACACTGGAAGTAAACATGTATCTTATACCTAAGTCTCTACGAATTGTCTCTATTTTTCCTAACAGTTATAGGTCAAAATATGCTCCCAAATACTTGTCCAAAAAACACCTGTACAGATCCAGTCTGAATGGGTTAAAAGCAGCCACATACAATGTAGCACATATTTCCATATCAGTCCAAATCTAAATAAGTGAATAAATACAACTTACCTTGTAGAATTTGATGATATCTTCCTTGGTAAGTGTCTTTAAATACGCAACTTCTAAATTATCTGAAAATGTAATCAAACAGTAATTTTTTAATATTTCCATATTATGTAGTACAAAATACTACATCAAAAAGTAATATACTTGGCAAAGAAATAGGCCTGAGGATCAGTGGAACAGACTGGAAGACACAAAAACAAATGCAGATGTACTCAGCTACCTCATCTTTGACAAAGGAGCTGACCATCCTCAGTGGAGGAAAGATAGCCTCTTTAATAAATGGTGTTGGAAAAACTGGATGTCAACCTGCCACAGATTAAAATTAGACCCTTATCTTTCGCCATGCACTAAATTAAAATCCAAATGGATTAAAGATCTAAATATTAAAACAGAAACATTAAACTTGCTGGAAGGTAAGTTAGGCAGAACTCTGGAAGACATTGGTATAGGAAAAAGACTTTATGAACAAATCCTCAGTAGCACGGGAACTAGCAGAAAGAATCAACAACTGGGATCTCATCTTACTAAAAAGCTTCTGTACTTCAAAAGAAACCATCAGCAGAACTAAGAGACAATCTACAATGTGGGAAAAAATTTTTACCAGCTGTTCCTCAGACAAAGGACTATTATCAAGGATATATATAGAACTCAAAACAATCAACCCCTCCAAATAAAAA